CTCACTCTTTCCCCCCCCTCGTCCCCTTCCCGCTGTGCATATATATATATATATATCTATATACCTGTAAACAAGTATAACACGTGTTGAAGAAGGACGGTTTGCGCCATGGATACTTCCCAGTCCGTGTGTCGCGCGGTTGGCTGTGGTCGGCGGTGCAGGCGCTGCAAACGCCACGCCTTAAACTCCCCCGTTTTTCCACTCAGTGACTTTGAGAAGAGGACCGGTATCACGGTTGCGTGAGATGCGGAGGTGCGTGTGTGCAAAGGCCATGGACAAGTGACCGCCCCGGCGTGCGTAGCGCTGATCTTTTGCACACACACACGCCCTTTTTTGTGTGTTTGTGTGTGTGTGTGTGGTGGGGGGGGGCGCCGCGGTGAATGGAGGGGAAGGAAGGAAGCAGGTGTCGCGGCGAAGGCGGAAGCGAGCGAAGGGAGAGTTTTTCTTCTTTTCTTTATTTGGCGGTGGGGGGCGTAGGCGAGGGAGCAAGTGTGAGCGACTGCGCCGCTTCGAATGCGGGAGGCCACGCCGTGCACGCAGAGCTGCACAGGACGGTGGCGCGCACGCTGCATTCATGAGCGTCTCTGCGCGGCAGCTTCCTTTGCCTCATCCCTCAAAAAGAGAAAAAAAAATCAATGAAAAAAAAACCGGGGGCCAGAGCTGATGCATCTGGTGCCGTACTTCTCGCGCTGCCGCTGTTGAATTCGCGCAGTCGGCTGCTGCGTGTCTGTTAGCCGCACACAACCGCGTACTTCATCCAGCCACCCACCCGCCCCTCCCTCCCACGCCTTGGTCTTCCCTCCGCTCCTCCCAATTCATCGTTGCGCCACACCTCCTCGCGTTATTATTCTTCCCTTTCTTTTTTGTTATGTGTTCCTCCCAGCGAAGAAGAGCAAAAAAAGAAGAACAAAAAAATGGGGCTTCCCGCGCGGGTGGCGCTGCTGCGGCGCGGGGCTCCAGGCGCCTTGAGCCGCCGTCATGCCTGCCGGGCGCTTCACACTGCGGACGGCGGAGCGATGGCCGCGACGCGCGCGGATTTGTGCGAACGCACGTACAACCGCCCCTCGGAGAGCGCCAAGGACGCCGCCGCACAGTGCCGCTCCGCGTTTCAGCACTTTGTTCGTCTTCGCAGCTCGGAGTACACCGGCGCGCGCCCGCCGCCCACGTGCGATGCGGCGGCCGCGGCGGGTGACGGCGAGGCGCTGGAAGGCCGTGGGGCGTCCGTGCGCCACGCGTTGGAGGCGGTTGACGTGCGCCCCACGGCCCGTGCGGGGGAGGCGTGGGGAGGCGTGGGCCCCGCGGGGAGACGTCCGCGGCCAGCCGCTGCCGCGTCCGCCGCTTCCGCACCTCGTGGACAACGCGACCTTCGCCGACTGCACCAACGCGCGGCGCGAGTCGCCGGTGGGGCCCGCCAGGCGCAGCTTCGGGCGGAGTACGAGCGGGCGGTGCACATCCTACGCGACATTCGTCTGGCGCTGGAGGCAATTGTCCTGCCGCGCAGCACCCGCCGCGCGAATGACGCGCGAGAGCGTCGAAAAGACTGGCTGGATTCCACCGAGGCGGTGCGCTTCGAGCGGCTGCACCAGCTCCGTGACACGACAAGCCGGCTTTCGACGGCCCACTTTCTGCCTCTGCCTGTGGCCATCATTCTCCAGTTTCTTGAGCTCATCGGCGGCATTGTGGCGCTTGTGCAGGCGCCACACACCACCGCCCACGGCTACGTCGTGCGACAGGCGATGCGAGCGCTTTTCATTGACGCCGACGCCGCCACACCGAGGGCAGCTCGTGCTGACGCTGCAGCAAGTGCAATGCCCGCGCGACCGCGGCTCTCGTCGGGTCTGCACTATTACAAACTTCTGCGCTCTGCGCTCTCGCTACCCGGCGCGGAGTCCATCGAGGTGTGTGACGCCGGCGGAAGCGTCATGTCCGTGGAGGAGCTCTGTGTGCGGCGGTTAGGCAGCGGCGTCTGCGTCTCTGCAGACCCAAGCTCCAAGACGTTTCTGCACGAAATTGGAACCATTCGTGCGGTTCGCGTAGTCGCCTGGTGTCTGCGCCAGGCGACCGCATCGCCCGCTTTGCTGCAGCAGGCACACAAGCGCTATTTCCCGCCGCCACGTGGAGAGCTGCGAATTCCGTTTGGTGTTGGGAAGGAGTACACCCAGCGTGTATTGGCCTCCTTTGCGGGGGACAACCCCCGTGGAGGCGCTGCCGCGCGTGGCGAGAGCGAGGCCGCGGAGAGGCGACGAACCCCGTTTGCGGTAACGGAGCTGGCGATGCTCTGCGGCGCCATCGTCTTTTACGAGATCCGGACGATGGAGGCCGTGAGGGTTCTCGTGGAGGCCGCGCCGGTGTGTGCGGCGGAGGTGGACGTGCTGTCGGGCCACCAGCTGAGCTGCGTCCTGCTGGCCTACGCGACACTGCGGTACCACGGCGATCTCGCGCGGCACCCGCCTACCTCGCCGCACGCCACGCTTCTCTCGCGGGACACGAGACAGACGAACTTTTACCTGCTGCTGGGCGAGCGCGCGGGGGCGATGGGCGAGGAGCTGCACGAAGACGACGCCGCCCGCGTGCTGCGTGCGCTGGCGATGGTTGACGTGGAGCACGAGGGGCTGCGACGCTCGCTGGAGTCCAGCATGCGCATGAAGGGGCTGCGCCGGAGAGTTCTGCTCTCATGAACCCCTGCGACGTGCCTCCACACACACACGCCCACAGAGAGAGAGAGAGAAAGAGAGAATGCATGAGAAGAGAAGCCATTATCGGAAAAAGCGACGCTGTGGCCAACAGCGTCACAATCCTCATTGCGTGTGTGTGCGTGCCTCTGTCTCCTTTTCTCGGGCGTGGTGATGCGGGGAGGAGGAGGAGGAGGTCGATGGCGCCAGAGGCCTTTGCGTGGTTGCGGTGTGGGCGCACTTGTGTAAACGCCCATGCGCAGCCGTCGCAGGCAGCAGACCTGACGCAAGTGGGCCGGGGAAGCTTCCCGTGCAGGCGATTCATTTTTGCTGCCGCTTTGCATGCAACCTCCTCCGCCTGCTTCTCTCTCCGTGGTTGGGCGGCGTGGTTCAGAGGGAACGCAGGGGCGTTGCCACATTGCTACACGCTTGTAAAGTTGCAAAGGGGCATAGGCATAGGCACCGGCGGCATCACACCACGCAGGTGTGTGAGAGAGGAAAACGAAGAAAAAGAAAAAAAAAGAGAACATGCAGTTTGAGGAGCCCAACTTGACGCGGCGGCACAACCCACAGCGGCAGCGACGCGTGGAGGCGGCAGAGACGGAGCGGCAGAATGGCCGGGTGCACCGGACGGACACAAAGCCAAGCAGGACTTTGCGGGAGGCCGTGGATGCCTTCTTGAGCTCAGACGCACGCGTCATTCAGTCCCTGATGGTGGCCGTTATCGTGCTTGTCGTGGTGTGCCTCGCGCTGATTGGGGTGAGTGCCTGGCTGCTCTTGTACGGCGTCGGCGACGCACCAGCCGACGAGGCGTCCAGGAAGTTTTTCGACGACAACGCCGTCATGGACGTCTGGCGCCTCTACGAGGCCGCGCGGAGGTCGGACGATGAGTACCACAAGACGGCCCTGCGTGAGTACTTGACGCGCTACAAGGAGAAGGTGGAGCAGCGGCGCGAGGCGTGGAAGCTCAAGCACAAGGTCACCGAAGTCGACGTCAAGGACGTCGAGGGTGGGGAGGGCCCGATCATTCCGCCCCACACGCCTAGACCCGCGGCGCGCCTGCCGCCCCTCATGGCGTCGCTGCGGGCGATCCTAAACCGTATTGAGCTGCAGGACCCGGAGGCGGGGCTGGAGCGCGCCGCCGCGTTTGTTGAGGAGCGGCTGGAAGAGGCAGCGACGACGGGGTCGCACGCGGGCGAGGCGGCCGAGGAGGGCGAAGCCGCCGAACCGCTGGATGACATTCTCTACCTGCAACTCCGCCGCCTGCACGCGGACGCAAGGCGCGACACCGCGGCGGCCGCGGCGTCGTCTCCGCAGCGCGACTGGTGGGACCGCGTCCGGGCGGCTGCCCCTTCGGTCTACACGAAGCGGTTTTACTACCCACTGCGGCGCTTCCACCGCGTGCGACGCTTTTCCCCGGAGACGCCGGCAGCCACCGCGGCGTGGTTCGACGCCCTCGTGGATGACTACTACGGCGACAACGTCACCCACTTTTCCCCGCCGACGCTGCCCGACGGATTCGCCGCGTCGGTTGCGCAGGTTCTCGCCAGCGGGGAGGCGGCCCACGCCACGCTTGCCTCGCCGGTCCACAGCGGCTCGTTGTTTGTCAATATCGCAAGCTTCCGTGACAAGGAGTGCTGGCCGACGGTGGACCACATGATTCGGCGCTCGACGAACATGTTCCGCGTGTACTGGGGAATTGCGCAGCAGAACTACTACACCGACCTCCCGTGCGTTTCCGCGGATGCGCTGGAGCCGCAGCCGTGCGTGGCCGCCCCCGGCGGCTCGGGACCCGCGTTAAATGCTGCGAAGTACGACGGCGCGGTCTGCTTTCCAGCGGATAATATTCGGGTTCGGCGGATTCGCTCGCACGCCGCCTTTGGCCCAACCCTCGGCCGCTACATGGCGATGCTATTGTACAGTGGCGAGGACTACACCTTGGTGCTTGACTCGCACAATCGCTTCGTCTACGCCTGGGACGCGCGCATCATCGCAATGCAGCGGGCCCTGCAACACCCCAAAGCCGTCCTCTCGCACTACCCGGAGAGCTACGAGGAGACGGGGGGCGCCAGCTTCAAGTGGGAGCGCACGACCACGGCGTACCTGTGCCAGGCCAAGTTTCTCGAATCGGCGGGGTACCTGCGGCTGATTGGCATCCTCGTGGATGAAATCGAGCAGTTCAGGCGGAATGCGCGGCACGTGCGGCCGTACTACGTGCCACAGCTCCACTTGGACCCCAATGTGCCGCGTCCGCTGCCGCAGCCGTGGGCGGCGGGGGGGTTCATCTTTGCAAACGCGTCCATCGTGCGCGAGGTGCCGTTCGATCCGCACCTGCCGCACATCTTTGACGGGGAGGAGGTGATGTACTCGGTGCGGCTGTGGACGCACGGCTACGACATTTACTCCCCCAGACGTGGTATTTGCTACCACTTTTACGGCCGCCCAAAAGAGCCCAAGCTGTGGAATGAGGCGCAGCGGTGGTACACCGTCCAGGCCCACTCGCGGCGTCGCATTCAATACTTTTTGCGGGCGCGGGTGAAGGGGGTGGATGTGCTGCGGATTCCGAAGAACAGCCAGGAACCTGTGGTGATGATGGACGCGGACCGGTACGGCACAGGGCGGCTGCGCAGCGTGGAGGCGTGGTACAAGTTCGCCGGCGCGGATCCCGTGCGGTACGTGCTGGACGGTCGCTGGTGCGGCTGAGCGGCGTGGAGGCGGGGCGTCGTGGCGGGTGTAGCGAGAGCGAGAGCGAGCCCTCTCACCCTTGGGGCTTAGAGAAATGCCGTTTCCGACTAAAACCACCGGTACAAAAAATGAAAAAGAGAAAAAACACCTTGTGCCAAAGAGAATAATACGAATTGGGCTTGTTTTTTCTGTCTGGGGCTTTTTTTTCGTTTTTTTTTTGCTGCTTCTTATTTGTTTGCTTGATGCGTATTCGGTCGATGTCTCTCTTTAGTCGTTGGGAGGGGGAGGGGCGGTGGTGTTACTCCCTCTGGGGAACTACGGCTGCGACGCGGCCTCCCCCCCCCCCCCGCCACAGGGGTGTAGGAGGACGGGGTGCGTGCGTGCGTGCGTGCGTGGGAGGGAAGCAGAGAGAAAAGGCGACAGTGCCTCTCCACCGCACCACACTCCTCCCCGCTGTCTATCTATGCATGTACGTGTATATATTACATATATATATATATATATATATGTTTATTTATCGGTCCATCGCTGCGTGTGTGCGGGGCTGCTTTGGTGATCTTTTGCTTTTTGTTTTTCCCCCCCCCTGCTTGTTTTCTGTGCATGTCGCTGTGTATATATATGTTTATATGTATATACACACATATTGCTCTTGTTTGCCCTCGCGTTACTTCCGATAGTTGTGGGAGGCTCTTGTTCTTTGCGTCCCTCCCGTTGGCGCCCCTCCACCGCGGCCGCCTCGCCCTGCACACACACACACGCCGTCTCTGCGCCAGCTCTCCGCCGCTTCTTCCGCCGCCTTTTCTCTCCTCCACTTGTGTGGCGCTTCTTCCTTCTTTCCTGCCCTCCCTCCGCCGCGCCTCATCTGCGACGCCGCGCTGCCTGTGCGGCTGCTATCAAAAAGCGAACCACCCCCTAAAAGGGAATACAAACACACACACACACACACCCTCACCTCCTCGTTGGAACTGCCTGCGGATGGTTAAGTTGGAGCTGCGGGAGTTCGCCGAGGCCACCCGGCGCATGGTGCAGCTCAGCGGTGTGAAGAAGTCGCGGCTAATGCTGCGCGCCCGGCCCAGGAGCGGCCGCAGCACGTTTGTGCTGAAGTCGACGGACGGCCGCACCACCCTCACGACGCGGGTGACGCATCAGGGGGAGCTGAGGCTCGTGGAGGGCATTGTGAACGACTTCGTTGGGAGCTGCACCGCCGCCGTAGCGCCGCCCGCCCCGCTACCGTCCGCCGCCGCGCCGGGCAAACAGGCGGAGCGTGGCGGGGCGGGCGGCGGCGGCCCAGAGCCCTCCGCAGCAGGAGGAAAGGGCGGCAGCAAGCAAGGAGGGAGGGCCGTCGGTGGAGGCGCGCACGCCAACCAGCAGGAACAACACGGAACGAAGAAGCGGAGGGGTGGCCGTCGATAGGCGTCGTTGATTGTTGTTTGTCGTCGGTTCTTCCTATTTGTGCCCATCGCCCCCTTTTTTTTTGTCGTTGTTTGGGCGTATGGGTTGCGTCGGTGCAGGGAAGCTGGCTGGCTGGATGGATGAGGGGGTTTTGCCGCCTCATCCAGGCTGCGCTTCCCCGCTACAGCTGTTAACCAAAAACACACATACTCCCTTCACCGTCGCGTGCGCGCGCGCGCGCTCTCGCTTTGGCAGTTCGCCTGCCCGGCCTGCGTGTGCATGTGTCCTGTGCGGTGGGTGTGCCATCTCCTCCCGCTGCCGCACATCGTAGAGCCGTACGCGCAGCAGAGGCAGGGAGGCGGCATCGTTGCTTCTTTTCTTTTTTTCTTCTTGTCCCTTTTTTTTTCTTGTTTGCATTTTAGTCTACTGCGCGGGTGTGCCTTGGGCGCGGCGGATGCACGTGCAGCACATGCTGGAGCGGTGCAGGATGCGGCTCCGGCGCTCGATGAAGCGCGGCACGAGGTTGGCCCTGCTGCTGACGATTGTGGCGCTTTTGCTGCTGCTGAGCATCACGATGTTCAACTCCGCCCTTGACGAGGTGGGCGCTGACGAGGTGGGCGCTGACGAGGTGGGCGCTGGCGACGGCGACGAGCTCGAGGACGGCGCGCCTCCCCCCCACCGCGACAAGGCGCGCCTGCAGGGGCAAATAGAGCGCGGTCGGGCATCCATGCTGCTGCACGCAGAGGAGCTCCTCGCGCTGCTGCAGCGGTTTTCCGACGAGCGTGGGGTTCGGGCGGCCAACGCCATGTCTGAGGCCGCGGTGCATCCGGCGAACACGTCCCTCGCGACCCCCGAGGCTCTCCTCACGCACTACTACGGGACGGAGCTGATACGACTCAACAACGTGCACGAAAAGGACCTCGATGACGGCTACGCGCAGAACGTGTTGCACTCCGACACCTACTGGAGCCCGTCTCACGTCACCCGCCGCGGCTACGGCCTCGAGGGAAGCATCTTCGTCGGCGTCACGCACAGCCAGGAGGCGGCGGCGTCGGCAGCGGCGGAGACGGCGTGCGCGGCGACGGTGCGGAGCCTCTACGAGGCGGCGCGCTGGCCGCTCGCAATATTCACAGGCATCGTGGATGTCACGCTCCGCACGCCGCCGCGTGACGCCGCAGCCGCATCGGCGGAGGCAGCAGCGCAGCCGCCGGAGGAAACCCCCGCCTGGGCGCCGCCGCCGGCGTCTGTGTGCGTCCCTCGCGCATACCTCTTGCCGAGCTGCGCGGAGCGTGTCTCGTTTTGCCCCACCGACAACATCCGCGTGCGACAGGTGCGGGCTGCGCAGACGACGGCGGATGCGGTTGGTGCCGCAGGAAACGCACGGCGTCGTCGGCCGCATCCGCTCTTTTCCTCCGTCGCGGCACAGCGCTACGCGACGCTGACCCTTTACCGCGGCGAAACCTACGTCATGTTTATCCGCGCCGGTGTGCAGCTTGTCTCCAACTGGGATCTGCTGGCACGCACGCTCTGGCTGCAGCTTCCCTCGCGTCAGGCGGTGCTTTCCCAGCCCCCCGTCTCCGTCACCCACGAGGCCGTCCAGGCAGCGTGGGACGCCGTGGTTGTGAGGCAAGTGGAGGGAATCCTCCTCGCCGCCGACAAGATGCTCCCCAACGCGACGGCGCAAGGGCCGCCGCAGTCGCAGCCGCGCGAGGGAAAGCTGGGGAACGGCGTGGGTCAGTGGCTGGAGTCGATCCAGTGGACGCTCAACTTGGAGGCGGTGCGGCTGCAGCCGGCGGGGGAGGCGGCGGCGGGCGGGAAGGACGCGGGGCTGCGGGTGGAGGAGGTGGTGCACCACGTTTTCCACCACGACGCGGCGGTCTTTCGCCATGCGAAGGAGCAGGCGCCCATGACGGGCGGTGCCTCGCTGGCGGAGGAGGAAGTCGCCCCGGCTGCGGCAAGCCGCAGGCGCATTCAACTCTACTGGCTGCGGCAGTTTTACGAGGCTCTTCGGGGGGAGTTCCTGAAGGATGTGGTGGAGCGAAACACCACCGCGTGCCTCTCCGGTGTTCAAATGCCGGAGGCGAAGTCCCGGCGAGAGGCGGCGGCCCTCTTCAGGCTGCATGCGACGCGGGTGAGGCGGCTCAGCCACGCCATGCGTGACCCACGCTACATGCGACCCTCGCCCTTTCACGCCTGTGGCGGGACCGGCGCGACTGCGTGCCCGGAGATGTCTGCGGTCAAACACATGTGCCACAGCGACGCGATTCTTCCCTACTTGCTGCAGGCCTGGGTGACCACGGACTTTCTCTTCACCCGGGCCGAGGCCTTTGTGGACCTCCCCCGCGACGCCGGCGACGGCTACGGCGGCCCCACGCACGCGGACACGGTGCAGCTGGACCCGTTTCTGAGTTTTGTGGGCGCCGACGAGGAGGCGGTGCTGCTGAGCGCACGGCTCTGGACACACGGGTGGGAGCTCTTCTCCGCAACGGAGCCGGTCGCCTTCGTCGTGACGCCGCCAACCACGCAAGCGACGGCGGCGTCCGACGCACGCACGCTCACCCCCGCGCTGCTGCAGCTGCGCGAGCGCAGTGTGGCACGCCTGCGACACATTATTTTCGGCAAAAACGGCACCGCGGGGGCGGCCCCGGATGTAGAGGCAGCGGCATTGCGCGAGGTGGAGCGCTACGGCCTCGGCCGGCGGCGGTCGAAGGAGCAACTGTTTTACTTTTCTGGCCTGCAGGAGGCGGCGCGGCAGCGGGAGAGGGTGGCGGAGTCAAACGCCGAAGCTGAACACGCCGTGGAATCCATCTGCCCCGCGTTCTTCTGCCGCAGCCGGAAGTGACGGACCCAGCGGCGGCTTCGATGTGCATATTTGCCTGCTTGCAGCGTGCTTCTGCATCAATGCCAGTAGCTACACGTAGATAAGCCTCTTCACCTCTGCGCGGTGGTGTCGCGTCGGAGGGAGATGTGGGTGGGGATTGGCGTCGGACGCGCGGGCCGCATCGCAGAGTGCGCCCCCCTTTCTTTGGCCCCTTTTTTCCATGCCTCTACTTTTCTTTCTTTATATATATATATATGTGTCTGCGTGCCGGTGCGCTCTTTTTTTTTTTACTTTGTGCGTGTGTATTTGTGGCTGTGCGGTCGTGTTTGCTTCCCTCTTTTTAGCTGCTATTTGTCTTTTATTGCTGCCGGGCGGGGGCGCCGTGCGTGTGTTTCTTTCACTCCCTCTCTCTCTGACGGCTGCATGACGCGCGGAGGCGTGGGACGGGAGGGAGGGAGAGGGGAAGTGAGGGGCCTGCGGCGTGTGTGTGTGTGTGTGTGGTTGCCTCGCACTTCTCTTTTCTTCTTGCTGCCACCGTTGATTGAACACGACAGGAGCAAGGGCGAGATATATAGCAGAAGGGAAATAAGGAAGGTAGACGCAAAAAAAAAAAACAAAGAAGAAAAGCGAGGAAGGCGGCCACCGTTGCGGCTGTGGGGTATGTCCTCCGAGGAGGCGGTGCAGGAGGTGCGGCGCATCTTCACGCACAACACCGTGGAGCAGGTCCGCGACTACCTCAGCACCATCACCCGCGGCATACAAGAGAGCGATGACCGGCTCAAGCAGATTGTGGGGCAGAGTTACCGCGACCTCATTGCCGCCTGCGACCAGGTGGTGGGGATGGAGCAGACCTGCAAGAAGCTGCTGCGGTTGCAGAGGGAGATGCATGTGGAGCAGCAGCTGACATCGCCCGCCCCGTCGTCGCCGCAGGCTTTGCCAGCGGCGCTGGGACGCGGGAGCCCTTCGCGGCACGTGGGCGACTCCGCCTCCCTCGCGGCGATGGCAGGAAGAGTCCTGGAGGATGAGGCCGCGGATGCCCAGGCGCACGGCGGCGGGACAGGCGCGGCGAACTCGGCCTCCTGTGACCGGCTACGGTTTCGGCAGCGCTGCATCGCGATTGAGGGGCTGCTTGGGGCGCGGCAGGTGCAGGAGGCGGCCACCGTCTGGAACGAGTTACGCGATGCACTGGGGTGCGAGACGGCGTTCGCCGTCACACACGCGACGGCGCAGGAGGAGGCATGCACGCCGTTATTATCCCACCTGCACGAGAAGAACCAGGAGCAGCCGTGCCTCTTGCTGGACTCGTACGGGAGCCGCATTCGGCAGGCGATTCGCGAGTTGCTCCGCAGGGACGCCGACGATGCGGCGCGGCGCACGGTGGACGCGGCGGGTGCAGCCACGCGAGTGCCGCGTGGCGCTGGGGGTGTCGGCGACACGCAGCGTCCGGCGGCGGACTCGGCGGGGGGCGAATTTATGGCGGCCGCAATGGCACACATGGCAGAGGCGCATGCGGCACTGGGCGTCCTGGACGCCGTCGCCGCCCCGGTTGCCCTGGAGCAACTGATTGCACTCGTCGCTGCCATGATTGACGGGGAGCTGCAGTTACTCTCCGAGGCGATCGCCGAAAGGACGCAGCGGCGACGCAGAAGGAGCCGTGGTGGGGGCGCAGCTGCGGCGGGGAGTGCCGGGGAGCAGTCAGCTGGGGCGGCGGCGTGGCTGGGGGCGATTCTGCCGCTGCCGGCGTGGCTGCTGGACGACGCCGCGGCCTCGCAGCCATCGACGGCGTGGACGCCGCCGTCGGCGGAGGCCACAAGTGCAGGGCACACAACCGCAGCGGCAACAGCGACAACGACGACGATCGGTAGTGCGGCCACGATGGCATGCGGTGGGGGTAACGGTGAGGCAAACTCCGGGGGCAGTGACGCCGTCGTTGCCCTGCACCTGCTACAGCGCACACAGCAGCTGTTTTTTCATCTTGCGGCCTACGCTGCGTCGGAGCTGCCGCGCCTCTGTGGTCCCGAGGCGGACGCTGGAGATGAGGCCACGTCGCCGCAGAAAGAGGAGGTTGTCGCCGCTGTGGCAAACGACAAGGGGGAGGAGGCCGAAGGGTACATGAATTACCAGCGGCAGCAGCGTTCGTTGCAGTCGCTCCTCACACTTCGGGGACGGCTGTTGGCTCAGCAGCAGCAACAACAGCAACAGCAACAGCAGCAGGAAGAGGAAGAGGCGAGCAAAGAGGCGTTGGAGCTTAGCGTTCGCGTGCCTAGGCGCGTGGGTGGCGGTGAGGCACGAGACGTCCTGTCCAACTCCCATCGCAGTGCTCCGGACGAGGCGGGGGAGGCCGCGATGAATGGATCCACCTCACTCGCGCGACTCGCTCTCTCGGGTGGGCTCAGTGCGCCCAAGCGATCGCGGCTGCGAACGACGTACATCCGCGAGGTGATGCGGCAGGTGTGCGGGATGCAGCTGCTCGACCCGCAGCTGCTGCGGCGCCGGCGGCCGGCAAAGCCGTTCTCCGCGCCGGATCGAAGCATCGCTGCTGCAGCTGCGGGGTGGAGCTGCGGGGAGATGGGGCGGAGACTGATGGTCGTGCAGGCAACCGTGTCGGAGCTGCTGGGGCGCGTCGCGGACGCTGGTCTCCTGCGCAGCCCGCGTTGTGTGGCCCTGCAGGAGCGACTCGCACTGCAGGAGGCCGCGCGACTGCAGCAGTGGCTCGGGCAAAAGCAGCTGCCAGGGTGTGGTGCTCTTCGACGCCGCGCGGTGGAACGAGACGGTGCGCAACGCTACGGAGCGCGCCCTCGTAAAGGCGGTACGTGCCGCCCTGCGCAAGGCGGACGTCGTCTGGAACGCCACTCTGCAATGCATCCAGCTGGAGGGCCGCCATGCCGAGCGTGCGGCGTCGCCAAGCTCACCACAGAGGCAGCAGCGGCTGCAGCTGGATGCGCCCGGCGTGGAGGCCGCCGCGACAGCGCGTCCAGTGACTCTGTCGCAGCTGTCCCAGCGGCTCCTGTCCCGCTCACTCTCTGTGAGCCAACTCATTGCCGCGGTACACCGCGGCGACGGAGATGTAACTGCGTCTCTTTTGTCGCCTGCAGCCCCGACGCGGCGCGTGCGCGCGGCGGGGAAGGAGGTCGCCACGACGAACGCGCTCCTGGCCCGTGCTGTGGTCCAGTGTGTGTGGTCGGACTCCGCGGCGGCGGCGGCTGAGGGGACGGCGGAGGGCGCACGCGAGTCGCACGCACGCAGTGCCCAGAGCTCCGTCCCTGACGCTCCACCTTCGCGAGGCCTGGCGGCGGATGCCGTGACGGCGACGGCGGGTGGAGGCGGCCGCCTCGTGGCGCTTGACGCGGAAGATGCGGTGTTGTTTGAGGGGGACGAAGGCGAGGACGCCGAGGAGGAGGCGGAGCACGCGGGGGAGACTCCCGCTGCGAAGGAGGTGGAGGACAGCAACCTGCAAGCAAGGAAGAAGGCAATCGTCTCCGCCGTGGCGGCGGCGTGCCCAGCGTGCGTGGAGGCAGAAATGCTTGAGGGTGAGGACCAAGCCGCGGTGTCTGAGCGAAGCGCGTTGCTTCGGATGCTGCAGCGCATCACTGACTCCGAGAAGTTGTGTGCCGCGGCAGAGCCACCCGTGCAGGGCCTCATTACGGCATGGATGTCGGGTGCGCTTGGGCGCGTACAGGCGATGATGCGGAGCGCAGCGGCGGAGTATCAAAAGCAGGGGGAGCCCTTTGAGCGACAGGCGGCGACGATGGTCTTTTTTCATCGCCTCTCCCTGCTTGTGGAGGTGCTGCTCCGCGTCTTGGAGTCGACGCCGGCGGCGTCGGCCGCGGCAGGAACACTTCTGCAGGAGCTTCGCGATACGGTCACTGCGTGCCACACGCCGTGGGTGCAGCTCCTGCGGCGCGAGTGGGAGAATGGACTCTGCACGGCGTACAGGGAGGCGTTGGCGGCCGTAGCGGCTCCCGCGGCGCGAGGCTACGCGCTGGAGTACGCGGCCTGCTGGCGCCACGCCCCCCGCCCCTCGCAGCCGCCGCGGCCGCGGAGCCGGGGGCAGGCGGAGGAGGCGGTGGCTTACCCAATCCAGCTCACCCCGCACATTGCGGAGCTCCTCTTCACGCTGCAGCATATCCTGCACACGGTCAGCGTGGGACGGCGCCTGCGCGGGACGGTGTTTCCGCTCGTCGTCCGCGAGCTGCTGGACGGCACGACGGCGGCCGCACTGAACTTTGTCCTCCCCACCCTCACCTCCGCCAGGGCGCACGGGAGCGGCGGCGTGGGCGGCGAAGGCGCCGGCAACGCGCATCCCCTGCGTCCGCCCCCGACCACAGACGACGGGAGGGATGGCGGCAACCGTGACGAGGCCGCCGCCGCCGCCGCCGCCGACGACCGACGACAAGGAGGAGGCGCTGCTTCAGCTGTACTTTGACGTGCGGTTTATCACTGGGCTGCTGACGCCACCGGATGCGGCCCCCGCGTCGTCCACCGCGGCGGTGCTGCGCGCGGTGGAGCAGCGCGTGGACCCCGTCACCTGGTCGCTCGCCGCCCCGCTCCTCAAGTCCGCCAATGAGCAGCTGCTGCGGGCTACGACCCTCTCGTTCGGTTCCTGGAGCGCCGCGGCCGCGGCGGAGGTGTGGAGCGCGGCCGCGAGCGACGACGTCAGCCGCGCCGCGGCGAAGGCACGGCCGTCGACGCAGTCCCCGCCCAACGGGGCCATCGCCACGCCCACGGAGCGAGACCGCTTTCCACTGCTTCCGCTGGCCGCGAGCGCCCCTGCCCTGCTCCCGAGCGCCAGAGGGGGAACGCCCTCCAGCGCCAAGGCGCAAGGCGGCGGCGGCAGAGGCGAGGCGACATTCGCCCTGGACGCCGCGTCACCGACCCCTGCAGCCGCGGGGGGCAAGGAGGCCGCCGCCACCTCCTTCACCACCTCGCTGCTGTGGGGCGACGGCACCACGAAGGGGTGGATGGGGTCGTTGTGGTAGCGCGCCGTCCTGCTCCTCCCCCCCTTTTTTTTTTTTCTTATTTTCTCTCGCCCAGCTTTTTTTTTTCTTACCTTCTTTTTATTTTCTGCGGCACCCTCACACTCGATGCCGCGCCCCTGCCTTGCATGCATGGTGCTGCCGTTTCCGCGCGCTTACGGCGACGGAGGCTGCG